AGTCTAAGCAATAATCACTAATTGTTGGTTTTGGTGAATGGGTAACAATTTTCATGCAATAAGAGGAAAACACTTAAAGTCAGTCAGAGAAAGACTATTATCATGTGATCTCACTCATATGTGGACTTTAAGATACAAAACAAAAGAGTGTAGGGGAAGGGAGGGAAAAATAAAGAGGAAATCAGAGAGTGAGACAAAACATAAGAGACTCTTAATCACAGGAAACAAACTGAGGGTTGCTTGAGGGGTGGGGGTGAGGGGATGGGGTAACTGGGTGATGGACATTAAGGAGGCCATGAGATGTAATGAGCACTGGGTGTTATATATAATTTTTGAATCACTGATCTCTACCTCTGAAACCAATAATACATTATGTATTAATTAATTGAATTTAAATTAAAAAATAAAAGTACCAAAACAAAACCAAAAAAAGAGGAAAACATTTAACTTCTCAAATTGGGCTTAATTAATTTAGATGAATATATATATATATATATTTTTTTTTTAAGATTTTTTTTTTTTTAATTTATTTGACAGACAGATCACAAGTAGGCAGAAAGGCAGGCAGAGAAGAGAGGGGGAAGCAGGCTCCCTGCTGAGCAGAGAGCCTGATTTGGGTCTTGATCCCAGGACCCTGAGATCATGACCCAAGCTGAAGGCAGAGGCTTTAACCCACTGAGCCACCCGGAAGTGTTGTTCTGCTTAACACCAGGTCAACTTTAACATCATTTTGCTCTTAAGACAAGGCTTGAGGCATATGGAATAGGACCTTAGAGGCTTTTTGATGGATGAGGCAAGAAATTTCTTAACAGGATAGGGTACAGATTGGCTTCAGTGTGTAATGCCTTGCCTTGCTAATTATGCTTGTTGATCATGTGATTCCTTATGTCTTGGGGACTATGAAGAAACTAATGGGTGACCTTTGTTGTAGATGCTATTATTGCAGCTATGACAGCCACTTCAATAAGTCCATTACCTAATTGAAACAAACTACATTAAATGTGTCTTGTTTTGGATTAATATTTCTTCCTCCATTCCCAGTGACTCATTAAACTGCATTGATTTGGGGGTCTTCAAAACATCTCTTTATCTTTTCCTTGTCACCACCAATTGGATGACTGTTAGAAGTCTCCTAGTTGGCTTCCTTATTTCTTCTTCTTTTAATTGAGAAGCCTCCACACACTCCCAGCTCTTGGCAAGGGTCTCCAGAGTGCTCATTCCAATCACTCTCCTTTCTTTGGGGAGAGCCTTCAAATGCTTCCTGTTGCTGCTTTATGCATTCTAAACTTCTCTGTGAGACTTTCAGAAACAGCAGTGACAAGGTCCATCTCTCTATTCAAAATGATTCCTCACTGTTTTTTAATATCCTTTTCTCCTATACTCCAGTGAAGAGGAGAGGAAATTGAGAAATGTAATGATTTGAGAAAGAAGAAATTAATTTGCGTTCTTTGAATTCCAATTCCTTCCGGCTTTGTCTCACAGATAACTATGAAGAGATAGGTTAGGAGAGAGTTACCACTTGTCAAAAGCTGGAAAGCTGATCAGTAGAGCTGGAATTTGAAACTAAGTCTGTCTGACACCCTTCCTTTTCTCAATATTGCATCTACTGTGCTTACGCAAGCTGCCTTCTCTCCCTGACTTCTACCAACCAGCACCGGAAATGTCCCTCTTTCTGCCTCACTTCCAAGATTCAGTTCTCAATACAGCCTATCTGAACACTCCAGATCTCCCTAAGCATCTCTGGCCTAAACTACCTGAAAACTTACCCCTGAACCCCAAGTAAGTAAGATGCTTCTCTGTATTCCCATGACATCCTGTTTTTATTATACTAATTTTTTAAGAAACATTTTTATTGATACATCACAGAGACAAGTGCACATATCATAAGCATAAAACTTGATGAAATATCAAACAGCAAAACCACTCCCTGAAACCACCAACCAGATCGAGAAATTAACAGCAGGCAGAAGACCACCCCTTTCCTGGACCCTCTTGATCATTATTCCCACTCGCCTCCCCTCCCCAAAGGTGGTCATATCCGGACTTCCACAGAGATTCATTTTGTTTGTCTGCTTTCAGATTTTTATATAAGTTAAATCATGAAGTCTGGCTTCTATGTCTGTGACATTTACTCCCTGTAGTTGTATGTACAGATTATTCCTTCATTTTCATTGTAGTATAGTATTCCATTATATATTTTCCAATATATGTTCCATGCCATACACTAATTTATTTTACTATTGGTAGACATTTTGAATCATTCTCATTTGGGGCTGATGTGAATGGTACTAGTATGAACATTACTGCAAATTTTTTATTGACTCTATGTACATTCTTTGTGCGTATAAATCATGGAGTGGAACTAGTAGGTCAAAATTATATGTATGATCATCTTTAGTAAATAGTGCCACACAGTTTTCCAAAGTGGTTGTGCTTATTTCTGCTCCTGTGGCAAGGTCTATTTCCAGCTGTGCTTCATCTTCATCAACAACCAACAGTGTCTACATTATAATTGTAAATCCCACCCCCTTTCTCCCTCTCTGGGTAGGATGACACCTGCAAGGTATCTTAGTAGAAGTCAGATGAAATAATAAGTGAATGGCTAACAAACACACAATCATTTGCTCCTCTGCTTTTTGTCACATGTTAGGCAGAAAAGCATAATGGTCACAAGCACAGGCTTTGGGGACGGGCCATCATGATTCACCTTCTTACTTCACCACTTACTAATCAGCAAATTACCTGCCTATGCTAGTCTGTTCACTTTTGACATCACAGGGTTGTTTTGAAGATTTAAATAGACTAAACAGGGCTTTGAATACTGTCTGGCATATAGTAAGAGCTCAGTAGTCTTAGCTGTTAGTGTTCTCCAATGCTCAGGGCCTGCACCCAGTTAGAGTTCCTACAAACAGAATCAGTGTAAGAATCTTTGGCATGCCCTCTGTGAAGCCTGCTCCAGGGAACTGACGCCACAGAAGCCTCTGGACTTCTAAAGTTCTCTTTATCCCTCATTCAGCACCAGCCAGACACCACCAGTAGGTGCCATATCTCCCCAAGTAGATGGGCAAATGCCCTAAGTGAAGTCACTGACTTAGTCTTCATGGTAGCAGTGGTTTCAAAGTCCCATTTTAACTTGTGGGGATCATAGCTCAATACATTCCCCAAACCCATTGTTTGGGGAGAGAACAATGGAGAAGTGTACTGTCCGCCTTTGCAACCACGACGCTCAAATGCAGTTTCAAATGTTAGCAGGGATGTACTTACTTTTGTAGATAAAAGATACTTCTCCATGTATGTGACTTGACATTACAGTACTTGGTAAATATTTGCTCTTTTTTTAAATTGACCCCTTGTTCTTGACTTCCTTGTTCTTGCCTTGTTCCCTTCCCACCCACTTGTGTTTGATCTAATCTCCTCCTATTTGTGTGACAACCCCGGGGACTTCTCTGCTCTTATCAATTCCCCAAGCAGTACAATGAGATCTTCTACAGTGATGGACTATAAGCCAATAAACCAAATTTCTATCCTAAAGAAGGAAAAAGTTCTGTCATCTACACCTAGCCGCTCTGACTTATCTATAATTAGTTTGGAGACGCCCAGCCTGTGTTCCAATAAAAATGTGATTTAAGCCACTCTTTGTTCAAGAAGGAATGCGTTACTGTTATTGATAATGAGAATGAAGGAAGACAGGCAAATAGTCTCCCAGTCAGAGCTGGTATCAATCTTTATTAGGAAAATGCAGGCTTTAGATTCCCTTTGTCACTCCAGTTGACTTCGGCATGTGGGTCTGGGAGGGGATTTAATGTGTAACTAGTGCCTGTAGGTTCAACAGTATCTCAAATGCGGGGGTGGGGGGTGCCAACCTTCAGCAAGAAGTCATCGACTCGCTTCGATCCCCTTGCTTCAGTGGAATGCTGGCAGGGAGAAGTCAGTCATCTCCAAATACCTGTCCAGCCCTTAGAAGCCCTGGAAGGGGATGTGTTGGGGGAGAGGGTGTGTGTGTGGAAAGTGAGATGTAAGCAGCAGGATTAAGGGGGAGAAGGTCACAGCTTCCCTGGGGGAATCCCTGAGCAAATCGGGAGCTCTTAGAAGTAAAGGCAACAGCAGTCCGCTGTTTGAGGACTCCCTGTTTGCCAGGAATTTGTGTGAAAGGCCTAGAAAAGTGAGAAAGTACAATTAATTTGGACTCAAAATGATGATCTCTTAATATCTTAGTATCTTCCCTTCCTCCTCAGTAGATATTCCTGTGGGATGGGCCCCATGAGTGGCCTCTGCACACCAGACCCAGGGGCAGCAGGTTTAGCTCAAAAGGCTTCTGGGCTAAGCCAGGGACTGGCTCCTCGGGGGTCCCTCTCTGAGCTGGCCCCGCACTCTGTTCAGCTCTGGGTGCTCTCAGAAACCTAAAGTCCTGCCAGGTCAGCTTCTTGGGAATGTCTCCCTTTATGAGCAACATCCCCACCCTCTTCAGTGGCATTCTGCTGGCAGACTAGTATCTTCCATTCCATTTTAACACGCTACTTTATTTAAAAAGTTTGCCTTTTCCATGAGGCTCCTTAAGGGCGGAGATCTGTGTGCTTTGCCCTCTGCTATATTCCCAGCACTCAGGGCAGGGCTTGGCCCAGAGGAGGCACTCAGATTAGTTGTTGAAAAGAAATACCTGTTCTTTAGGCAAGCCAAACGTCAGGACAAACAGCCAACTTCAGAGGGTAGGTGATAAACATAGGGAACCTGGCTTCGTGGCTGTCCTTGTGAAACAGATTTGTACATGGAAATGGGTTTGTTTGGATGGATTTGTGAATGACTGACATCGTAAAATACTAAGACCTGGGAAGATAAACTGGCTTTGAGACCACTCTATGCCCCCTGGAGTCTGAAGTAGCTACTGTTGGAGGCCAACCACTGAGCTGTAAAGCACAGCAGCATTTCCCAGGACCCTTGATTACCCCCCCCACCCCATCCCAACCGAGATACACAAAATAACACACATGACACAATTTACGTAAATATTTTTCAAGGTTTTATTGCAAACCAAAGTTGGTTTATCACACACAAAAAAAGTTGTGTGGTGGTGGGGGGAGGAATTGTACATATTATAACCATGTTAATTACAGTACATTAAAATGGTGGTTTACATTACAAATAAGCCTGTAAGTTTAAATATACTAGTGTTATAACCCAATGTACAGACTTTCTTTATACAATACATACAATTATCAGGAATGCAAAAAAAAAAAAAAGAAAGAAAGAAAGAAAAACATAAATAATGCCCATTTTACAGGTGACATTTTAAACAATGAAAAATACCAGGCTTTGACCGACAACTGGGGCATTGGTCCATTAAAAACCCTTTCTAAAAATAGAAATATTTGTAGCAGCAATGCTTTCTTTAAGCATCTGGATACAAGTCATTGCAAGACCATTTTCAATAAATTTTCGTTATTAACTGTATCTTACAAAACAAACAAACAAACAAAAACAAACGGTCTACACGTAAATTTATCTTCCAAATATGGAAGAAACGAACAATGTCCCACATTGTAGTGTCCTGCAAGTGTCACATTGAGGCTTAGGACGAAATCCGTCTGGGATCAAGCATACCACACTCATACCACTGTTCACACAGGAAATCCACAAGGAAAAATAAAGTACTGAAACACTCTGCAAAAGGAAAAGCTTTGGAGCTAACACGATCTCATCGGAAAAGGCACATTTCGTAAGATTCGTTATCACGGCCCAGACGGACCCTTCCGAAAACCCTTCTCAGAACCGCGTCACCCACTAAGACTACTGCCATCTGTCCAAGGCGGCACGCAATGCTCAGAGATAGCACCATGTTGGAAGGAAGAATAAAAATGAAAACCTCATGAGCTCACTGAGAGGAGGGTGTGCTCTTCAAAAAGCTTCCAGCAAACAGTGTGCAATAAGATTGCCAAGATGTGCAAGCTTCCAGAGATGTGCAAATTCTCTTGTAAGATGTCCTGTCAGCCGGCAGCTCCGCCACGAGGCTAACTAAAAACGCTTACGGACACACATAAAATCCTTCAAGACCAACCTCGAGGACTGTTCAGAGGAAGGAGTCCATGGGAGGGGCGTAGGAGAAGCCCAGGAAGGCCTCGGCAGCCTCCTGAACGCTGGCTGTGAGAAGGATGCTGTCGGGAGACCTGCCGATGGAGTTGGGGACTGGCTCTTCGGTGAACTCAGGATCGAAGTGCCGCAGGTCACTAGGTCCACTCTATGGTGGAGAAAAAAAAAAAGGACACTCAGTGTCAAGAATTCTGTGTGCAGACAAGACATGGAAATCCTCATTTTGGGGCTTTAAATACTGGAGCTCCAGTCTTTGGGGTACTATATGGAGACTCCCACAGTAACCCTCCATTTCAGGCACAAAACCCACAGGCCACACAAAGTTTACATAACAAGGAGGGTGTTCCCTTTTTATCCTTTGGCACTTTAATCGACGAATGTGTGGAAAGGTTATGCTAGCTTGTGGGACAAAAATTCTAATTTTTATCTAGGTAAAATAATGATTTGTGAATAAAAGATCTGCCAATGTCTTCCTTGAAGGCCCTCTTCTCCCACCAATCCTGATTTCAAGAAGCAGCCTTTGGACCCTCCTAGACTCAGAAAGACACTCACCACATTTGGGTTAAAAGGGGGTGTAATCTTCTTGTTAATGAGATCATCCCAGTTAATTAGGGAGAAGAAGACATGACTCTTAATCTCCATCTGTGGAGAAGAAACAGGAGATGAATTTAGACAGGTGGAATTCAGGAAGGGCAGTGGGGTCCAGGCAGCTTCCCAGAGAGCCCAGGAGAACAGGAAAAAGTTACTCACAAAGTCGTCCTTGGCGCCCAGCCTCTTTGTCCTGTCCTTTTGCAGGAGGCCCTCCAGGAGGTGTCTGGCAGAGTTGGTAATATTTGGCTTCAGCTGGAGGGGCTTGTTGAGAATGTTGTCGTACATCTCAGCTGTGTTGCGGCTATAGAAAGGAGGCTGAAAGAAGGGGGAAAATGCTCAGTTGGAAGGTTTGTACAGCAAACACCACACCAACAGAGAAAAAGTCTTCAACTAGATTAAGCTAGATCTGACAAAGCCTTTCCCTTAATAGATTCTTTGCCCTGGATTTTGAAACTGTTTTGGGACCCTTATCAAGGAGTAGATATCTGGTGGAAGGTGAATTTACAAAAGAAAAATTCACTAAGAGCTTACTCTAAAACACTTATAAAATAACCAATGGGCTTCTCTTATCAGCATCTGATAAGCTTATTGATAAAGGGGCAAAATACAATGACCAGATCTGCAATGGGGCTTGGGTGCCCAGGTAAGTCTGGACTTATGAAACCAGGAGGAAGATTCCATAGCTCTCAATGCACCTACTCACCAGGCCATATAGCATCTCATATAAGACGGCCCCCAGGCACCACCAGTCCACTGTCCTGTCATAAGGTTGCTTGTGGAGCACCTCGGGTGCGAGATACTGAAACACAAAGCCAGAAGACAGAGTTTAGAAGACTGTGAAACAGCGCAATCCCACAGCCAGGCCTGCACTTTGAAAAGGCTGAGACCCTGGGTCCACTTCCAGGATACATTTCTTTACATTACTTCCCAATAAAACTGCGGGACTTGGGAGGCTGACTGGCCAGGTATGGGTGCTGATATTTAGGAAGTGACTGGGCACCCAACGGATCGCTTACTTGGAATTTACAACCTTTCATGACATGGCTTTTGCAAACAGCTGGTCTTAATGAACGCAACATAAGGCCTTGGGATTTCTCATGCTGCATCAAACAGCACATATATCCCTTGAATTCAACTGGACTGAGAAACCTCCAAGAACAACCCACCCTTCTGGTAGTTTCAGTATTTTTGCACTTGGCTCTCCCAGGAAGGGGCAGACAGGACACCAAATGGACAGCGCTCCTACCTCGGGCGTGCCACAGAAGGTGGATGTCGTGCCGTTGTGTTCGATGTTCTCCTTGCAGAGCCCAAAGTCAGTAAGGACAATGTGTCCCTGTGAATCCAGCAGAATATTCTCTGGTTTTAAGTCTCTGCAAAAAACCAAAAAAGTTGTGTAAGTTAATTTCATTTCATAAGAAAGCCTCTGTGAAAATAATAGCTTGGGTTATTAGAAGCATTTTCAATTCACTGTAGCTGTATAGTGAATTTAAAAAAGGGAGTCCTTGTTCTGCTACTCTATTCTGGATTAGGCACAATCCTAGCCAGCTAGTTCCTGGTGGCATGGAGTCAAGGTGGCTCCCATGCTGAGGGATCTGGTTTTAGGTGACCGAGCTGTATAGAAATACAAATTATTTTAAGGCTCCGCGGAAGGCTAGGGCTCAGTCTCCTTTCTACACGGAAAGGTAACCTTGAGAGCTCTCCAGCTTACCTATAAACGATGTTCAGAGAGTGCAGGTAACCCAAGGCACTGGCTATTTCAGCAGCATAGAAGCGAGCCCGTGGTTCCAGGAAGCAACGTTCCCTCTGGAGATGGTAGAACAGCTGCAGGAGACAGAACAAAGTTAGGCTGGGTTGCCAAGGCTTGATAACAATGCATTTAATTAGTCTCGACATATACAGCTAAAGGGGACAATTGCAGGAAGCGGCCTTAAATAGTCTATTAACTATTTGCAACCTTCAGGTTGAAGGAAAGGCTAATTCTGGTAACTTTTCCCCCCTATCATTGAAAAACTTTCCTCTCCAACTAAAACCAAGAATGCTGTGCCCAGACACTCAAAGGTTAGCTCATATTCCTGCCACTCACCTCTCCACCGTTGATGTAGTCAAGGACAAAGTACAATTTGTCAGCAGTCTGAAAAGAGAAGTGGAGGCCCACCAGGAAAGGGTGTTTCACATTCTTCAGCAGAACATTTCGTTCCGACATAATATGTTTCTCCTAGAAAAAGGACAATTAAGATTTAGTGGCAAATTTCAACTTGGTACCAGAATTCCAAGGTAAAACCATTCAATGAATGTCTATCTCCAACTCCCATCCATCCAGCGCATTCCGTACCTCCTTCTTTTTCAGGATGGCTTTCTTCTGTAAAACTTTGACTGCATAGAATACTTCTTCTGCTTTGTGTCTTGCTAGAAGAACCTGGAATTTCAATTTAAAAAAAATCATTTTGCTATCTACACCCAGGGAGAACGTAAAATGAATGCATGAAAGACTGTAAGTCATGAGGTCTTCAGATCTGACATTACCTTCCCAAAACTGCCTTTTCCAATCACTTTCAAGAAGTGAAAGTCAGATGGTTTAGCGTGAGGATTGGATGATGGGCCAAGGTTGATTTGCTGAGAAGGGCTTGGCTGGAAAAGAAAAAATGTTTTCTTTTAATACCCTTGCTTCAAAGGAAGACAACGATAAAGGACAGACAATGTAAAATGTGTCACATCTGCAAATGACTGAGGCAAGTCACCACCACCCCTCCCAGACTCAACCTAAGACTACTGTATGGGAGTATGGAAATTGTACACAATTGTTGTACCCAGATAAGACTTTTAGGCAATAGGCCTTTTAAAATACTTCACTGACTCAATAGTTAAATAACTGCTTATGTCACTTGTTACGCCATTAACTAGGCATTCCTGCCTTGATACTAATTTCTAGAAATGCTATTGTAATCCATCGATGTAGGAATACTAACTGACTCATTTACAAGATTCCTCTACAGAAGCATCACAAAGAGAGAATACTTACTGGAGGAGAAGGGTTGGCATTCATAAGCTCAGGCTCCTGAGGTTGGGAGATTTTCAAAATGGACTGAACTTCAGGGCTGCAGAGAAAGGAACAACTTAGAACTTCCTTAACTCGACACGAGGGGGCACACTAACACCAGTAGTAAGCTTCAGGCTCAATTGCCGCTCCCCCCCCTTCCCCCGCCCCTTCGGAGCGTTTCAACTAAAAACACCCAAAGAAGTAACTCAGTTAAAGAAAATAATAAACCCAGTTAAGTCAAGGATGAGGGTTGTTCTTCATGTTAACAGGGGGTGAATTAAGCCAACATGAAACTCTTTATCTTTCAGCTCTAGGACAGGCCAAATGAGCACATTAGTTTTAACGTTTAAAATGTTTACAATTGGGACTTAAAACAGAAAAGGGTTCCCACCCTCCGGGAAGGTTTCAGCTTTCTGATCAACCTTCTGATGAGATTGTGTCTTTAGGGCTGGTAAAATGAAACTTTACTACTTATTTTTATTTCTCCCAATCCTCCCCAAAACTTACTGTTTGCATGCATAGGAGTTACTGGCAATCTTCTGAATAAAGTCGTTCAGGCCCATCCTCCTCTGTTTCATGAAAGCTGTGAATTAAGAGAGGAGAAATAAATAAACGTCTAGATGGCTTCATAACGTCCGACGCCACACAAACTAATCCGATGCGCGACCCTAAAAACATGTCCCCTTCGCGTGTCCTAGAAGTTCAGTAAAATTCCTACACTCACCGATGAGAATTGCTACCATTCCCCTCATTCTGGAGTAAGTGAGGGTGCCCCTAGCAGCCTCGGTTTTCACCGTCATCTCCGCAGAGAGAGCGCGGCGAGTCGTTGCTGACGGGAGACCGGCTCAGCCAACACTGCCCGCGAGCCGCGCCGCCTGCTTTATAAGCCCTGAGCCGCCGCAGGGGCGGGGCCCACGCGACAATGCGGAAGAGGCCCCGCCCAGTCCCCGCCCCAAGCCCCGCCTCCAGCGGCCGCGGCGCCAGGCAGGCTTCTCCTTGGCGGGCGGTGGAGGGCGGTTCGGCCCCCGGCCCGAGGGCGAGCCCGGGGCGGGGGCGGCGGGCGCGGGGACTGCCCGGGAGGCCCGGCGTGGGACTGTTATCTGCCTCTCTCCTCTCTCCGGCAGAGAGAGGGAAACCGCAGGCGGAGGGGGCGGGGGCAGGGAGAGTCCGGGGTAATTTTCCACCTTTCTCATTTATTCCGCCCAGCTAGGAAATCAGAGTCGCGGCACAGGGCGCTTTTCGCCCGGTGCTCCGCCAGCGGGTGGCTCTGTGCCCGCTTAAGTTAGTCGAACACTGACTGCCGATTTCCTCCCGGTACCGGAGCCGGCCCTCTCCCCTAACTCCCCCAGCAGCCTCATCAGCCCCCACCCGGCGGCCGTGCACCACCAGCCGTAGGTGTCCGTCGGGCGAGGGTGGCCCGGCGCGCCCTCATCTGCGGGGTCACCGTGGGTCCGGGACAACCGGTGGGACCCCCGCTTTCGCCTCCTTCTCTCCCGGCTTCAGTTCCTTCACCCTGCGAACGCGCACCCTCCACCCCCACTGGACACCCCCCCCCCCACCCCCCCCCCCCCCCCCCCGCTCCTGCTCGCGGGAGCCGAGCGACTAGCGGCGGAGCGGGACAGTCCCCGCGTGGCAGGCTCGGCGCTTACCCAGGCCAGTCAGCAGGAAGGACTCGCTGCGTTTCTGCGCCTCGGCCCTCTTTTTGTGGCGGGGCCGAAGCAGAGACTCGAGCCGGGCCCTGGTCAGCGCGCCCTGCATCTCCCTCATGGGCAGCGGCGGCCGGGCGCGCAGCGGGCGAGGGCGACAGGAGAACACTGACGTTTCCTTGAAGGAGCCGCCGTGACTCAGGCCGGGCAAGATTTCCTGCCCCGAGACCCAAAACAAACAAATGGCCCTTGTGCACGGCCGAGCCGCTTCCGAAAACGCCTTTTTTGTGCTTTTGGCCAAAGCCAGGCAAGGCTGCAAAATCCCAGAACTTGGAAGCGGAGGAAGGAAGGAAAGAAAGAGGGAAGGGGGAGGGAGAGGTCAGGAATGTGTAGGGGAGGGGGCGGAAATAAAATTCGTCTCTGCACTGAAGAAAAAAAAAGTACAATCTGCATTTCACTTTTTACCCCCCTCCCCCATCTTTGAGAACATTCTGTCCGTTCCGCATGTAATTTTTTCCCCTTGCATCTTTAATCTCCGCCACGCCAAGAACACGTGAAGAAGTGGCAAGTTCGGGGAGTGGTGGCTCCGCGCAAGGCGCCGACCTGGCGTGACCCCGGGCACCGGCGACTCCCCATTCCCTCTCCCGCTCTCCCACCTGACAACGTAGCAAGGTCGCGTTACATTGTCTTTAAAACCCTTAGTTTGTCCTCGTCTTCCCCGGCCCTTCTCCGGTTTATTCCAGGGCTGACCCGGGAGTCTTCTTACAGTTTAACCACCTTGCTCTTTCTCTCGAGTCCCAGTTTATCTGGGACTCGAGCACTCGCGAAAGATTAGCGGGTGCCTGCGCTCCAGAAAGCGGAGGAGAGAGGGAGGCTCGGCAAAGCGGCGGAGCGGTGCCTTCCATTAACCCCGCCGCTGGGAGATGCCTGGGCGCTGCAGTCTGACCGCGGCGCGAGGACTCCGGCCAGCGGTGGCCGGGGAAGCCACGAGCACAGCAGCTGGGCCAGAGCGGGAGACGGCGGCAAGTTACCAAGGTTGCAGGGCCGGTACCTGGCGCTTGCCGGTGCTGTCTGCCGTGGCCTGCCCTGCCGTGACCCCTGACTGTCAAGGGCCCTGCCATCTTGGAGTTGCATACTGGGTCTGACACGCTCTGAAACACCAGCTGTCAAACCAAGAATAGCCTGTGAAGCGGGTTTTCTTTCGTCCTGGGCAGGGATTTGTTTTGCAGGCACAACCACCTCATTTGCCCTAATATGATCTGTAGCCTCAGCTGCTTCTTGGTTTGCTCAGTTGCAACAGCTCCAGACGGGGAGAAGGGAACACACATCATCTCTCCTGGAGAGTGGCTGGGAAATGTTGCTCAGCACCCACCTAAAAAAGCACTTCTCAGGTGCCTGAAATTGACGCTCCAACCTCAGGCAGGGTTTAGGAAACTCCAAATCCCAGTAACTGGCCCATTACTGCTTCCTCTTCCATGGATTCTTCATATAATACGACTTTGTTACTGCTGATGGCCCCCATACTCCGTGTTCCACTTCAACTAGCCCAGCCGGTCCCTGCTCCCACACCATGCAGCCCTGTTTTAAGCCAGCAAATTTGCACTGAGAGTTATACGCAACCCATGAATCACTGATCACTACATCAAAACTTAATCTGTTGGCTAATTGCGCTTAATAAAAAGAAAAGAGAGCAAATCTTGCAAAGACTGCACAGAAACACCAGCCTGCACCAAGATTTCTGCTTGTTTGGTCTTAAACCATGAAGCTGAGAAACCTTCCATCAGGAACCCCCCCCTCCCCGCATCCCCACCTCTTGTGCCTTCCCCAGGCCCAGAAACCTCAGATCCTCTAAAGCATCTTCCTTTTACCCATTCCCTCTGAATTAAAGTAATAAAAGTACACAAACCTTTCAAAGGGGATTTTAGAGCTTCCTCTTTCATTCTTCAGGTTGCCTAGGATATGAAGGTTGGGGATTACTTTCTGGAGGTTGGAGGTAGAGCTCAGTTATGGTTGGAACAGCCTCTCTGCTATGTGCCTGATAAGGCTGAAAACTGAGATGACAGGGAGCAGAAGAGTCAGAGGCAGCCGTCCTCTGTTAGGCACCCCACTTTATATGAAGGCAATTTACATACAGGAAGGGAGCGAGCTGCAAAGTTCAACACTGGGCCATTTATTCTCTCCATTGCAACATCACTCAGATAATTACAGTCCTCAGCGTCCTGACTTTATTACACCCCCAGCAAGACACACAAGAAATGTAACTTGACTGATTATCGTTACAAATCAGTCCAGAAAAAATTCAAAACACATGCAGAGCCTTCATATTTTCAAAGACGCTCTGCCACGTGCATTCCAGAAGGAACGTGGAATTCAAGTTAGAGGGCTCTAAGAGGAATAGAGAAGAGGCACAACCGTATGATTTGTGGTTGGAACAGAAAAGGAACGTCTGATGTTCTCCTTCCTCCCCCTACCCTAATGTTCAGCAGTTGGAGACGGACGGTCTGCTAAACTTATCATTTAACGTAGAGACTCAAGTTGTTGAGACTGGCTTTTCTTCCAACCGGATACCTGAAGGGTGGAGCAGGCGCCCCCTGTTCTGTCCCAGCAACCTACTAAGACTTCCGAACAGGAAGGTGACACACAGCGGCGGGTGGATGGGGTAGGGGGAGTTGGGGCGGGGGAGGGGGGATGGTGTGTGACCCGTGCCTGTTAACTCTGTACGGGCTTTGGGTTGCCCTGTGGACGCTATTCAAAGGCTTGATCTGGTCTTCCTTCCCGTCGCCAGCCTCTTTCTTTGGTCCAGGTCGTCTTCCTAGGGAGGAATCCGGCCCCTTTCCTCTTAATCCCTGGTGGCGAAGTGGTCAGAGTTGCGTCACCAAATTGTGCTTGGAAATGCAACCCAGAGGGCGATCGTGTTCTCTGGCAGAACCACTCTGGCATGCAGAATTTCCCCCACTTCTCCTGAGGTTTAATCAGTTCCAGGTAATTTCTCTACAACACCTTGTGCAGTCACAGAAAATACAGATGGCTTGATAGGAGGTAGGCTAATTACCTCCCCACTCCTCCAAGCCAGTAATCTCATTTATGCCTCATAGTGGGGAAACTGCAATCAAAACACTCAAATGGAAATGATTCACCAAGATATAAAGTTTGCATTGAAACAAATCATTTTCCAGTGCATGTGTATTTTAATGCTTCAGAAAATCATTTAGTTCTTCTACTTTAATTTTCCATAAGGAGGGACTGTAAATACTGAAATCTGAAAGCTTTATGAAGATAGGACCCTTTCATTTTTTAATTCACAGGCTCAGAAAACAAATTCCTGGTATTTCTCAACATGTGAAAGTGAATATTTTGAAAAAAATTTTTTTAAAGATTTATTTATTTATTTGAGAGAGAGAGCAAATAAGGGGGCAGGTAGAGGCAGAGGGAGAGGGAGAGAGAATCCTCAGGCCAAGTCCCTTCTGAGTGGGGAGCCCAAAGCTGAGCTCCATCCATGACCCTGAGATCATGACCCGAACAGAAACCAAGAGTCAGAGGCTTAACCGACTGAGTCACTAGGCGTCCCCAAAAATATTTGTATAAGGACTTAGCTCTTCGACTACTTCTTAAGTGTGTTAGCTCTGTAGTGTCTTCATTTCCTAGTTAGAATACTTTCCATTGATAAAGGCAATAATTGTTTTGTATTGCCCAAAGGGCCAAAAATTCTAGAACAATTATGTGCACAGTTTGATCGATTCTTTCATTGATGCTTATAGAATCCTTTTCCTGAACCATCACCAAAAAAAGTATAAACACTAAAAAACATTATTATTACTCCAGAGAGTAACTAAATGCATCAGTTTTGTTGAAGATTGTCACCAAATGCACGCCCCCCCCTTTTTTTTTACAGTATTCATCAAACAGAAAAAGATGACAGCAAATAAGTTTATTCACAAGAGCTATTGTAGGTAAGGAAGCAGCGATGGTAGTTAAAAAGAGTCTATAGACTACAGATTCTATAGTGATTGTTATGTTCGGTGCTCTTAATTGTTGAAGGTGACAGGCATAAAGAAGGTAAGGATGAGATTGAAGAGATAACTATGAGAGAAACACATTACTTCGGAATAGCAAGTTTCAATGTTATTAAAACTCACAAAACCACGTGCTTAATATTTCTGCAGGGCCTATTTCTTTCCCAAGACTGTGGTTTTGCATAAAGCAGGGCTCTCCACCGGAAGAAACTTGGAATAGCGTTTTGCGACATAACGTACATGTGGCTGTCTAGTGGAGAGACCTTGGGTTGTGCTAACAGTACTCTTCAGCTATTGACAATTAGGCAATTGTTATTTTTCTTCTGAGTTGAGCAGATGATAGGCAAAATTGTGAAGTAGCGAAACTTGCTTTTGAAACCAGATTTATCTCCTCCCTATAACCCTTCTCTGTCCCTGGAGTGAGCTGAGGTGCCTCTCCTGCTTCGCTTCCCACCCACAGCCCCTCTGAGCTCTGTGGTCCTGCAGACTGTGAAGTACTGCCTTCCGCCCTCCTCCCTGCTAATGCCAGCTGTCTCAAAGCCCTGCTCTCAGCTAATCGCCCCAGGAGGTATTGACCTGATTCTCCTTCCCTCTCTCCCTGGCTTTCCCCCTCCTTCCCTCCTTCCCTCCCTTCCTCCCTCCTTCCCTCTCTTCCTCCCTCCCTTCCATTTGTTCATGCAAGCATTTAACAAGCATTTATTAAGTAAGTATGAATATTAAGCTCAAGGGACACAAATATGACTAATCCCGTTATTTGAGATTCACAGAGGCTGTCATTCTGAGTGGGGAGCACATGCATAAATTATGAGAGGATATGATGAGTATTAAAACAGGGGTCCCAGCCATCTACCTTAGAAGAAGAGAGAGGGGAATTTTCTACTGGGGAAAAGCAGCAAATGTGTAATTGTTGAGGAAAGTCTCCCACAAAGGTGTAATATTTGGGCTGATCCTGGAAAGGTCAGCTGGGGACCAAGGAGGAATGTCATTCTAGGCAGAAGAAAGCACGAGTATCGAACTCTGAGGTGCCATGTAGCATCTCTGGAATGATTTGGAAATAAGGCCCTTACTTGGACCTCTCACACAAGCAAAATGTACAGGGTCCTTGCTACTGCTGCGATAGCAAAACAGTGCATATGTACGTACGTACGTATGTATGTATGTATGTATGTATGTATTTGACAGAAAGCACAAGCAGGCAGGCAGAGGGAGAAGCAGTCTCCCCTTTGAGCAAGGAGCCTGAAAATGGGGCTCTACCCTAGGATCCTGCGATCATGACCTGAACTGAAGGCAGATGCTTACCCGACTGAGCCATCCAGGCAACCAAAACAGCACTTTCAAATGAAATAAAAAAAAAAAAATCCTAGTGGCATAAATCTGTCTGTCCCTCTC